CTCTCAGAATACCATTTAGAAAAAGTCAGTATTTTTTGTCATCCCCCAGGAAATACAGGATAAAGGAAGTACCTTCCAGAGAACTAGTGTAATGTCTTCCTTAGAAGACCCCCAAGTAAAATATAAGGAAATGACCACATAAATTATTTTTACATTTAGGAAATATTTAAAAGCTAATAGTATCCGAGAAACCTTTTATTTCTCATGAACCTACATTCAGCTCTTGGCCAACAATATTTTAGCTGAACTATTATGAATGAGACTTTAAGGTATTTCTTCATTTGAAATGTTCTTTTTTAGTTAGAATAATAAAATAACAGAGTTAGAAGGGACCTTGGAGATGTTCAAGTCCAACCCCCTACTTAGGCAAGAAACCCTATACCATTTAAGACAAATGCTTGTCCAATCTCTTCTTAAAAACTTCCAGGGGCAAACTGTTCCACCGATTAATTGTTCTAACTGTCAGGAAATTTCTTCTTACTTCTAGGTTGCTTCTCTCCTTGATTAGTTTCCATTAATTAATCAACCTTTGCTGATAAGAAGGCGTGTGCAAAACATAGCTTGTTCAGGGGCTACTGTAAACATGAAGTGTCTTCCTGGAAGCTTCCAAGTAAGAATGAGATTATTTCTTTGTCTCAGGTTGGCTGGCATCTGTGACTGATGAAGTCACCCTACACAAAAGGACATCAGCAAGCAAGTCACAGTGATGAAGCTGACAAAAGCCACTGCTCCTCCCCACTGCCCTGTGCTTTTGGAGCAAGACACTCTCCGACAGAAAGCTCAAAGAAGAGGATCTCATGGTCTGTATGTACTGTGCCTCCCAGGCCAGCAGTTACCAGCACAGTAGTCTCCCCTCTGACGATGACTGAGAAACTGAATAATGAAACCTGGTTCTTCTAGAGAAGCAAACAACTTTTGATGTTCTCCAAGTAAATATTCAATCAAGCAGGGGTGCTATTCAGCAGGTTCTGGCAGGTTCTAGAGAACCGGTAGCGGAAATTTTAAGTAGTTCGGAGAACTGGCAAATACCACCTCTGGCTGGCCCCAGAGTGGGGTGGGAATGGAGATTTTGCAATATCCTTCCCCAAGGAGTGGAGAGGGAATGGAGATTTTGCAGTATCCTTCCCCTGCCACAATCACCAAGCCACACCACACCCACCAAGCCACGCCCACAGAACCGGTAGTAAAAAAATTTGAATTCCACCACTGAAATCAAGCAATTCCATTTAAAAAAAGAAAGAAAGAAAGAAAGAAAGAAAGTTGGCCCTAATCTCCCTCTCTCTCTCTACTCGAAGTGACAATGAAAGACTTGAAAGGGTGAAAAGAAAGAAAAGAGAAGAAAAATTTCCAAACAGTTTGCCGGGTTCCTTCCTACTACCTTTGCCTTGTTGAGGTCTGGGATCTGTTGCTTCAATCTTCCAAGGGTTGCTGATGAATTGTGCCAGTGTTTCTTTCCAACTGTTCTGAATCTCCTGTATCTGATCTCAAAGAAGGGAGCAGATTCAGCTGGAAGAGAGAAACCAGAATGGCATAGTCCAGCAGCAACCTTTGGAAGAACAATAAAAGCCTTGTGAGAGGTACCATTCTCTCTCCTGTACGCTCTGTCCTCTTACATGATCTAATAGGACGAAATGGTCACATCTCTGCATGGTGGTTCCTGGTTGCATTCATATTTAGAATTTATTAGAATAACAGAGTTGGAAGGGACCTTGGAGGTCTTCTAGTCCAACCCCCTACTTAGGAGGTTGAACTAGAAACCCTACACCACTTCAGACAAATGGTTATCCAACATCTTCTTAAAAACTTCCAGTGTTGGAGCATTCACAACTTCTGGAGGTAAGTTGTTCCACTGATTAATTGTTCTGTCAGGAAATTTCTCCTTAGTTCTAAGCTGCTTCTCTCCTTGATTAGCTTTCACCCATTGCTTCTTGTCCTGCCCTCAGGTGCTTTGGAGAATAGCTTGACTCCCACTTCTTTGTGGCAGCCCCTGAGACATTGGAACACTGCTATCATGTCTCCCCTAGTCCTTCTGAATAGTTTTTATTCCAGAGCTATAATTGCACTCAACAATGAACTAAAGGGCCACCATCAGTGAGCTGTTGAACAGCATTACTTGGTCTGTTGTGTGGATGTTTGGGTGGTTAGGGGTACGGAATTGTGGTGGGTGGGAGTATGCTTGGGGATTATTATGTGTGTTGGACCTGGTCTTTGGGTGTTAAGTGAATTTTGTTGTATGGGCATACTGTGTATACACGTACAATGACAATAAAGTTATTATTTTATTTTATTATTGTATACCCAGTTCCTGCAACCGTTCTTCATATGTTTTAGCCTGGAAAATGCCTACTTGGGAAAGGCTGATTAGGTATTATCTATTATCTGTACAGCTCAATACCTATGGCTGCCCAATCCTTCAGATTTGATTTGAAACATGGGCTTCAGAATGTGCAGAATTGCGGATGCCATCCAGTCTGTGACTCATTAAAGCAGTCATATCCACTTCCAGAAGCTGCACAATCCTGGAAACAATCAAACCTCCTTTAATGAATCAACTGGCAGGTGCTGTGCTCATGTTCCAAAGCACCTCTTCCAGACTAAATCCTATTGCAAATCTCCATCGTTTTCTATATATCCTTATATGCTGAATGCCAGTACGGTTGCTTAGAATACGAAATATGAAACAGAAGCTCTGGAGTTCAACGTTTATGGCTGCCATAAAATCCTGCTCACCTCTCTCCAACACAAGGAAATGAACCATATACAGTAGTGGCCAAAATTGTGGAAACCTTTTGGGAAAAAGATTTATTTTCTAAAACTAGCTAACTCCCCCCACTTTTTGGGGGGAGTACCATAAAATTATATATCAATGGAAAGATAACTTAATCAAAAATGTAATGCAATAACTTTTATGAAGGATTTGCTATTAGAATAGCAGTTACAGTATAAAGAAGAAAAGTGAAACACGTAGAAAAATGAGATATACAAAAATTATCACCATAGAAAAAATGAGATACACAAAACTTATCACCATAGAAAAAATGAGATATACAAAAATTATCACCATGTCAGTTAATACTTAGTTGGGTAACCTTTAGCATGAATTACGGCCTTACAACGTTTTCCCATGAAGTGAACCAAATCTTTTAGATCTGCAGCTGTTATAATGTGAAACCAAGATTGAATGATTGCTTCTATTAACTGGGTTTTATTGCTGGGTCGCTTCTGAGTAACAACTTTCTTTAGTCGGCTCCATAGATTTTCTATTGGGTTAAGGTCTGGGCTATTCCCAGGCCATTCCAGCAGTGGAATAGGATTATCTTGAAACTCCCCCCCCCAAAAAAGTGGTGTTATTAGCCAACAAACCTCAAAAATATACTGTTCCCAAAAGGTTTCCACAATTTTGGCCATTACTGTACTTTATAGGTAGCAATTACTCCAAACAGCATGTAAGGCACTTTCACCAAATTTAAAGTGTGGTTTATTATTTACTAGTTTTAAATCAAGATTATAAAAATACATTCTAAATATTATTTATAGGGACATGTAGGTCTAGTGTTTGTAAGCACTTACTACACCTTCATCTTTATTTTTCTCAGAATGATGCAAGAAGCCATGACATCTATACTGTCAAATTATGCTATTTACCACCACTGATTGCACCCTTCCTCTCACATCATTTGAATTTTACCTTGCTATGCATAGTCACAGATTATGCATATCACATATTATTTCTATTTTATTAACAAGATGCAATTACAACTAGGGTGTGGTTTTAGTGGTCAACATTAACTTGGAACCCAAATGTTTCATCTGGATTTTTTTTTTTGCTATTTTACAGGTTGATACAATAAGTAGTAATCTTACATATTAGTCTTCTAATCTGAACTGATAAATACAGCTGATGCAGCCTTCGTTGTTTTGTTTAATTTATTTTAGTCTAATGAATAAAGAAATCAATCACTTTAAGTTGCATAATCCCATAACTTTGTTCGGTTTCTTAGCCCTAAGGAATCTGATATTGTTCCTTATGTCTACTGTCAGGAAGGTCTCCCCAGAAGAAGACTCAAGCAGGACACATTTGGTGATGGACAGAGGGTGGAAGGAACTCTGGATGGCAACTAAAGTTTTTTTTGTTTTGACTACGTTCTCAATCAATTTATAGAAATTGAATAAATGAACGCATAAATCATGAAATAAAATTATATCAACTCAGAATTCTGGGGTGTAGCCACAAATCAGCTGGAGAAAGTTTTCCTCTCCTTCTTGAGATATTATAAAGTGAACACCATATTATATTTTTCATAGAAGGAGACTAAGGGTTCATTTCCAGATTCAACCATAATGAAATATAGGTAGTCCTTGACTTACAACCATTCATTTAGTGATCACTCGAAGTTACAACAGCACTGAAAAAAGTTACTTTTTTACTCTCTTTTTTTTACACTTATGACCGTTGCAACATCCCCATGGTCACATGATCAAAATTCGGACGCTCAGCAACTGGCTCATACTTATGACACGTGGCAGTGTCCTGGAGTCACGCAATCCCATTTTGTGACCTTCTGACAAGCAAAGTCAATGGGGAAACCAGATTCACTTAAAAACCGTGTTACTAACCTAACAGCTGCAGTGATTCACTTAATAACTGCGGCAAGAAAGGTCAAAAAATGGGATGAAGCTCACTTAACTGTCTCACTTAGCAACACAAACGTTGGACGTCAATTGTGGACATAAGCTGAGGACTACCTATAAAGGGAATATAAGCCACATATAATGAGCGATGAAAGCGACTGAGGTTCACCGCAGGAGAGCTCTATTCAGTACTGGCATCAATTCTTCTTTACTATGTTTAGAGTAAAGAAACACCCCATACAATCAGTTCTTCATGTTGGCTCTTAGTTCTCATGAACAGAATAGTATTGTAGTGTAGTAAGTAAGTTATTAATAAGTTGTTTTACCAGTTCATACCAAAGACCTGAGAAAATATAAACAGAAAGTACCTGAAATGTCACAGGTCTGCTTGTTTCTTGGTGAGAATGTTGGTGATACACTGTGCCGGTAGACAATATGGGGCTTTTTATGCTCCTCTTCATATTCTTGTTGATCAGGTGATATGAGCGGCTCTACAAAGTATTCTCCATCGTGAGACCTAAATGTGCCTAACTGAGAAGGAATGAGAGACACATCATGTAACTTTCAATGGAGCGGTGCTTAAAACAATAATAATAATAATAAAGCCACCAAAGTTTAATAGAGATTTATAAATCTTCTGCTGAGAACTGTAGCTGTTTCTCAGACCCACAAGGGTGTTTTTTTTTTCTTTCTGGTTTTGCTTTATATGTTTTATCATTCCTAAGCTTCCTGCATGTCAGCTCTTTTTGGAGGCCAAGGTAAAGGCTACGCTCCAAAAAAAAGGGGGCGAAGCCACAAAATTACTTTTACTTCCTCATGAAAATTAAATCAAGTACATTTGAGTTGATATAATTGCTCCCATACGTGTAATAACTTTCCCCTTGGATGACAACAAAATTATAATTTGATAGCTACTTCAGGAAGGCTCTCACACTTGCCTAACCAAATAGAAAACATGTCTAGCTGTGGTTTCTTGAATGTACACTCAGTTGCCAACCTGAGTTGACCTTTACTTAAAACAGGTTGCACTGGTTGGTCACTTTTGGATGTGCAGGCTTGGGTTAGTACTTGCACCGGAGACTTCCAGAGAGCTATAATATCAGCCTGGGAAGTTGAAGATCTCAACTGGAAGAATGCAATGGCAAACCACTTTTGTACTGCTGGAAAGTTAGGTCAATGGTTCTGTCCATGAAGTCACCACAACCAAGCACAATTTGAAGGAGACACAATGTTTTTTTTAATGCCAGCTTGCACAGCAATAAAGCCTTTCAGTCACTGCCACAATCCTGGAGAATGGAAGAACACGCCGCAGCCAACTCACCATGGCCAACTCACCACAGCCAAGTCAACATGGCCAAGTCAACATGGCCAACTCGCTATCTCGCTGCAGGACAACTCACTATGGTCAACTCACCACGCAACAACTCACTGCTGGACAATTCAACCTTTCAGTTTAACTATTTAAAGTAATTACAAAATTATTGTAATTTTTGTCATTCACATTTCATTTTTTCCCTCCTTTGGCATCCTTTCTTTAATGATTCTATTCCACTACTTCTTTGATATTAGTGTAACTCTTGTCCTATGGTGAGTTGTCCCACGGCGAGTTGGCTATGTAGAGTTATCCCATAGCGAATTGGCTGTGGCATGTTGGCTGCAGTAAGTTGGGTGCGGCAAGTTGTTGTAGACTCACAATACCCTGCAACAAATCTGGAGCGTACTATTTGGAGAATGGTTGGCATAATTTATGAAACAGTTTTAAACTGTTTTAGATAGTATACTACAGGGGTGTCAAACCTGATCACATAGTGGGCCGTAAGATGACGTTTTTTTGCCTTTGCGGAGCCAGGGTGGGTGTGGCCTGCGCAGGCCGTATCCTACCCGCGGGCTGCCAGTTTGACAGGCCTGGTATACTAGATAAACCAGTTTCATGACTCCCTATCAGATTCTGAATCTGATGAATTTATCTTTTTAAATTTTGGGAGTCTTACTATGCTACCGTGATGCAACCACAAAAAATCAACACCCAAAAGGGACATTGTCCAGGAAGTATGTTTTTAGTCAGCCAGCCTTGTCTTCAACCTGCCTCCCAAATTAGTTGCTCATCCAATTTCTTGGGAAGGAGTTTGATCTAGTGGTTAAAGCACCAGGTGGGAAACCAGGAGACGGTGAGTTCTAGTTCTGCCTTACCCATGAAAGCAGGTTGGGTGGCATTGGGCCATTCATTCTCTCTTAGCCCAACCCACCTCCATGGGGAAAATAGGAGGAGGAATGAGTATGATATATGTTCACCACCTTGAATTATAAAAATAATATAAGAGGAAAATAAATAAAGTGAAAATTAACCTGAAGACACCAAGCTGAGGCAGTATAACTGTAACTGTAACTGTAACTGACCCCTTCGCATCTTTCACTAGGCCAGTATCTCACAAACACATGTAACATATGTAACAAAAAAATACAGACTATGGGAGAAAGGGAAGATTTTACTTTACAGATAGCTCTTTTCTTTCACAAGTTTCCTTGATAAAATAATGTAAGTTGTTTTTTTAAAAAACAAACAAACAAACATTCTGCTCCTCCTACTTTAATAAAAAAATTGAAAAGATCTATTGGGTCTTTCTGTACAAAATTCAGAAACACTGCTCTAAACATTCTATAAATGGAAGAGGGTACTGTCTGCCATACTGTCCACACTAAAGGCAGATGCTATACAACAGAGTCTTACCTCCCCCACATTCCAGAGGTTACTTCCAAGTTCGGGGGAGGGCTCCTCCTGCCATCTGCCACAATTCATTTTGGACCTATCTCTGGACAGCCTTCTCTTCTTTCCACCTTAAGTCTCCATAAAAGAGTCTGGCCTCCCTTAAGGTTGATCTTCCATGAAAGCTAATGCCAAATCTTGCAGTGCCTTATCTACCAGGAAATGGGTGTGAACTGTTTTCCTCTTCAGCTTCAACCCCGCTTGCAATCCTTGCCTGGAGGGCTGGAAAAACATACTCCCACCAGCTCCGTTGGTTCCCTTGGGAGAACGCTGGGGCGGTATCGGCCCTCCTCCTTCTCCTCTGCCCCACCCGCCAAACATCAGAACACCCACAATAACAACAACAAGCCCAGAAAGTGACCGCCACGGTACATACTGGAGGAAGTCAAGATGGTTTGGGGGTGGTGGTGGAGAATGGGGGCTCCCCATTGCTGCAGACCCTTCCTGTTTGATGTAGGGCACAGCCACTGGACTGTTCGGCCTGGCTGGTAAGTATAGCTAAACTCAGCTGCTTGCATCCTTTTTTTAGAATACTGAAGAAGGAAAGAAGAGCCTAGCTCCCTCACCCCCCCACCCCAATTATATTTGCAGAACAGATCTTGAAAATCTATTAGAAAATCTATTAGAGGAACCCAAACCCCTACTTCTTCACCACTCAGAGCAGACAGCTACCAAACTATGATTCTCTCCCCCCCTCACCCCCAATCCACAACAAACTTTGAGCTGCTAAGAGCATAAGTTTTCAAGCGGAACGGGGGTAAAATCAAATTACTGATTTGGTGCTTTGGAATCCTCTCCTTTACTCTCCCCCACAACTGCTTCACTTCTAAACCATTTCACTGTTCCAAGGGTGGTGGGAATGGTTCCTCTCAGTCCAAAATGTATGCATGCTGACAATTCCTTGCCTTTTTCAAATCCCAGTCCATTAAACGGGAGCGACTGGCTCTTAGCATTGGCACTCAAATCTGCCTGGAGTAAACTTTCGTCCCTAGAGGGAGTGAGGGAGAAGGAATCAATTACGCAGTTTCTGTTTGCCTCCCTCCACCTTAAATGTCTCTCGGGCCTCCAAGTGCCACCCTTATTTGCAGTTCAGACTCAAATGCTCTTCACCAACCCACTCAGGGGCTCCTTCTTCCCAAAAGCCACCTGGGGTAAAACCCAACCTCCTTGCTTTAACTCCCCTGGCAAACATCAGAGTCTCCTTGATGTTAAGATGTTGAAAGTCTTCAGGGACACAGCTGTTGCCAAGTGCACAAAACAAGGCTCCCAAACTACCTGTCTGGGATGACCCTTAAGAGAGAAAGTATAGAAATAGTTCATGACTACTGCATGTTGCTGGCACCTCCCAGGACTTCCCTCCCGTCTTCTCCCCCTCCCATCAATCAAACTGAGAGCTCCTTAAAAGCAAAGCCTTTGATTCTTGAGGTTTTGCCATATACTCCAGTAATGATTTCTTAAGTTTCCTGCCACTAGATACAAGTTATTTATAATCTAAAAGAAAGAAAGTGGCTAGGCAGGGGGGCAAGAAACCGGGAAAAGAAAGGCACCCTGTTGTAGTGTTGATCAGCACAACTTTGAAGAAAGTTTTGCTGTGCTTTTAGGTTTTGTTGCAATCAAAACCAAGAAAACCGTGGAGAAGACAAAAAAAGAAAAGAGGTTTAAAAACACACGATGTGCTTCCCACTCTCCTAGCAAGATCCAAAGCTGGGAATTGAGGTCTTTTCTTAAGAAGATGTTGATTTGCATCCTGTAAACAAAACCCTGGATTCAGCAAGAAGATTATACACTTACCATCCCAGAACACAGGCTTATGACTGCTGTATGTTGGGGCTCCGTGTTGACATGTCCTTTATAGAAACAGTGCTTAATATCACTTTCCTCCTCGGTGTAAAAGTTTGTTTGGTTAACCTCGGGTTGTCCAAGGAAGCTGACCGTGAAAAGAGGGGCAATAAATCCCGAATGGGCCGTAAGGTTGAAAACGAAGTGCTGCCCGAAGGCTTGCAGTCTATAATGCACTTGGGTGGTACTGAAAGAAGAGGAGGCAATGGGAGAAGAGGGAGCATCCAGGATCCAGGGCTCAGCTTCTGAATGAAGGCTTCGTTTCTTTCTCTGAAAGTGCACCTTTGTAGACAACGGCTCTCCAAGCTCATTCACACGGGTCGGGATCACAATCTCGTACTCTCTCAGCGTCTCCAGCAGTTTGGCTGTGAAAAGTTGACATAGGTGCCCATGAATGAATATGGGTTGTGGGTGTGCGCGCGCATGCGCACACTATTTAACAATACTTTTTACAGCGCTGGTCCAACAGGGAGATTAATTTAGCCAGTCACAAAGGAATATTCTTGTTGGAACCGATTAGAAAGCCCTTCTAAAACTTTATCGTCCAAATCAAACACCCCTTCCTTTTACCACCCCAACTCAGTTCTGCAATATTCCCAAAGTTGACCGGTCTGCATACCGTCCCATAGGTGAAAAGCTGGCAACTTAGAAAGTGGCAGCAAAGGATGCTGAATTCATTTTTTAGCCTTTATGTAACCAAGCTAAATACTGCGACCGGCACACACCATCAGCAGCATTTGCAGAATTAAAAAGGAAAACTCAGTTAGGATCTGCAAATACTACTTCCAAAACAACCCCGCTGCAGCATTACAGGTAGGAAATACAATCGTCATTCACTATTAATATACCCTAAACTCATCATATAGGAAATAAGTATTTTTAAAAAAAAAGAAAAAAAAGAAGTTTCTCATACTCTCAGAGAATACTGTCACCAATAAGAGTTTCAAACTGTGCCCTTTGGCAATATTTATTTATTTATTTATTAAAAAAACCTTATTAGCTTTAATGCAAAAGACCAAAATGTCAAGAGAGAGATAAAGAGATATGTTTGCAAGTTATGCATGGTGAAGGGGTGGGTTTTTTCCTCTCTCTCTCTCTCTCTCTCTCTCTCCCTCTCTCTTCCCTTTCGGGGTGGCAAGAGGACACTTGGTGACTTCCCTGATCGGTGCTTTCTAGGACATGCACGAAAAGAGCCACCATGAATAAAATTAGCATACATTGGTAGGCGGAGCTGGTGGGTCGACTGGAGAGAACTTCAACGGGCTTAACACCACTTTAAGAGCTTTTGCCGTTTTTTTTCCTCCCCTGCGGCAATGTTAGAGGGGGGAGAGAGAGAGAGGGAGAGAGAGAGAGAGAGAGAGAGAGAGGAGAAAAAAAAAAGAAAGAAAGAAAGAAAAGAAAACACAACCTGACCTCCCACAAAGTAACGCCAAAGTCGCTGCCTCTCTTTCCGACAACTCTTGCGCGCTGCTCTTGCGACTTTCTCTCCAGTCCTGCCAAGCATCTTACCTTGTCGGAGATGCCTCCCTTGCTTTCTGGCTGCTGCTGCTGCTGCGCCGGCTCTGTTCAAGAAGTCTTGCAGGAGTAGCGTGCTTAATCCTACCGCCCATAACACCAGCTGCATGGTGGTTTGTGCCGCTTCGTTGCAGCGATCAAGCTTTCCACCCCCCTTGGCCCCCCCCCCCCCGCGAAAGTCCTCCCTTCTAGTTGCTTGGGGAGTGGGGGGGGCGGAGAGGGGAGGAGAGGTGGTTTATTGTCAAAACTCCCGAGATCTTTTCTCCCCTCCTCCTCCTCCCCCCACACCGCCTTCCCCGACTTCACTTTTATTAAACTTGAGGATCGCGCTCATCTAATTGGGATTCTCGGGATTCGGCTGTGGCGAGAACTGTCCGCCCTGGAGCCAGTCGATCGAGAGGAGAAAAAGGAGTCGGGCTCGGGAGAGGATAAACACCAGCATCGTGCTTTTCGCGAGAGGGGCTGGGTGGAGGGGACGGAGGAGAGAGAGAGAGAGAGAGAGAGAGAGAGGGAAGGAGAAGGGGGAAAAAAAAATCAGCCCCACTAAGCTGCGGCTCCCCTTCTTCGCCCTCCGCCTCCTCCCCCCCGTTTCTCCGCCGCACTTCAGGGTCCTTGGAAAGTCTTAGGATTCCCGAGGAGGCGGGATCCGAGAGTTCCCGCCTCCCGGGAAGGAGGGGACAAAAGGCGGGAGAAGGTGGGGAAAGGCAACCGCTCCGGCTTCTTGCTTGCCGCTCGGCCGGAGGGGTTGCTGCTTGATGGCGCGGAGGCCGCGGAGTTTTTGAGGGGCTTGGGAAGTTCATGCCTGCCTTCGGTGGCGGGGGGAGGCCAAGGCCAAGCCGCCGCAGCGTCTCTTCTTCTCCCTCTTAAAATCTTCCTCCAGGAGGGGAATCCCTTTCCCACTTAACGTCCGGGCACCCTTGGCAGGGAAGGCGCCGGCCCGAAAGGGCAGCGCGTCACTTTTTTTTTTTTGCCTCCCCTACCCCACCCCAAAGGAGTCGTAGCGGTGGGCCCCCTTCGCTTTTTCCCGTTAGGATTTTGCCTCCCGAAACCCGCCTGGTTTGGGCTCTGAACCTCCCTTTAAGGTTAAGGCGCTGATCGGCCAAGCTTGCCTCAATTTATCTTCCCCGTTTGATAAAAAATTAACCCGGGACCATCGAGCATCTTAGTAATATTTTCTGGAAAGTGCAGGGTTTTTTTTTCCCCTCTTTCTTTTTCCTCTTTTTCTTTCAGAGACATAAAAAAGAAAAATGGATCACCAGCCAGGGGGCATTTAAACAAACAAACAAACAAAAAACCCTGCCAGTGCTTTTCTTAAGAAATAATTTAATACACTCCCCCTCCCCCTTTTGAAGTTTTTACTTGTATTATTTTAGAGTTCTTTTAGACAGGGTAATTTAAACTTGGGGTGTTTTTTTCTGCAACTATTGGGGAAAAGAAGTAGTAACTTTTAGTGACGCTACCTTTTTTTTTTATTTGGATGTTGTATTTGGATGTAGGCTTCATTGAATTCAATATTGTCTTTTCAGGGGGAAAAAAATGTAAGGCTGACCATATAGCATGCCAGAATCAGTGCAACTGAATATATTGGGCAGGTAAACACAGTTGTCTAGAAAAATAATTGGGAATGTATTTCTAGGCACATCAGAAATAGCATTCACTCTGCCTCTGCTATACCCACATTGGTCTCTAAACCAAGGTTATACAGACACAGACAAAGATTGATTTTCCTAGATAACTGATACCCTCATGTAGACAAAAAAGTGAACTTCACTGTTTGAAATGTGAGGTAGTTATACGTATAAAGTTGGAGGCCACAATCAGCAATACAACTCAGAGAACATAAGAATGGCTGTACTCCACCTTCTAATAAATTATAATAAAGCCAGGATGAGAACAGTTTACATGTTCAATTGCGCTATAAAAAAAAACTTTTAATGTACTAATGTAGAACAAAGCCACCAACACATCTCTGGTTAAAATGAACTAATATCTTCTTTCAATTGTTCTTTTGAAAGACTGCTGTATAAGTAGAAGCCAATCTGGTCTTGCAGAAGATATTTAGGCCTAGGCATATGTAGATACCTCTACATAGGCAGTCTGGCAATACCCGTGAAGAAGTGGCTATCCAGTCCCCCTTAAATCCTAAGGACCAGAGAGAATGGCCTGTGCCCAGTGGCGTGGTGGGGAGGAATGACTTCAATAGCCAGTAGGAGTTGGGCAGATCCCAGTCCCTGATCATGCCACTGCCAGCATTTCAACAAGACATCAATTGTCTGTACTGCAAGTTTTGTGTTGGGAGAAGAAGGGAAAAAGCTCTGTAATAGCAAAAGAACTAAAGACTATTCAGGGTCTCTCTGCAGTAGGTTAGGGATGAGACAGAAGCAATGTCAGGAGCACGGCTCTTGTAAAACTGCTTACCAAGGTGTTTTTGTGCCACAGTAAGTAGGATCAGTCCTTGGTTAACCATAACAATTCCCATAAAATAAATACCAGCAGTGTAAACATTAAAATGATGACATCCATCTCTGCTGCATTAAAGTTACAATGAAGTAAGTACGGGACTTGCTTCATTTGCAAATAACCATGGTGCAAACTTGCTTGGACAACATCTTTTTTTGTATGTTTCATGATGCGTCTCATCTTTAACCCATGAGCAAGGCAGGCTTGAGCTGTCCTTAGCTGCACTGGAGTTAAAGTAATATTTGTCATTTTATCCTGCGGCTGCCCAAGGGGTAAGCTGAAGACATGGAAAATCTGATAATTGTTAGCTATCACCTTGGAGGCACCTGAGCTGACTGGGATCGACAGCAATAGAGCTATCACAGGGGGCTGACAATTAGGAAAGCAAATTTAATGCTGGTAGTTTTTTCTTATAAAGAACAAGAGGGTAACCCTTTAGTTCAGCTGTGGGGAAAGGTATGGGATTATACAGAATTTCATAAATATGTTGTTATTATTTATTCATTAAATGTGAAACTCATGTCAACTGAACATTCAAAAATGCATCACAAATACCACTGACTGGTGCTAATGGTTGATACGGGTTGCTGCCAGTGTCCTAGGTATCAACCAAGTACCTTCTTAAGATGTACAATGTTCCAAGTAGCGCAGTTTTTTGCAGTTCCACTGGTGTTATTGCAGGAAGCTGCAATTTGTTGATATATCTTATAAAATTCTTGGACATGGTACCAAGTGCCCCGATGAAAATGGTTATCATTGTTACATGTTTCATCCATAACCGTGTAGTTTCTTTTCTTCTTCTTCTTCTTCTTCTTCTTCTTCTTCTTCTTCTTCTTCTTTTCTTCTTCTTCTTCTTCTTCTTTCTTCTTCTTCTTCTTCTTCTTCTTCTTCTTCTTCTTCTTCTTCTTCTCTTCTTCTTCTTCTTCTTCTTCTTCTTCTTCTTCTTCTTCTTCTTCTCCTTCTCCTTCTCCTTCTCCTTCTCCTTCTCCTTCTCCTTCTCCTTCTTCTTCTTGACTTTGAGCCAGTGCTAACTCCTAGTGACTACCTGGACAAGTCCTTCCAGTTTTCTTGGCAAGATTTTACAGGTGGTTTGTCTCTGCCTTCTTCCTAGGACTGAGAAATAAGGACTGGCACAGGTTCACCCAGCTGGCTTCGTGTCATAAGTCAGAATCAGACATCTTGGTTTATAGCTTGGTGTCTTAATCACTACACCAGACTGGTTCTTTATTCTCAACTAATTTCAGGATAGAACTGGAATTAAAAATAAAATTCTTAAATGAACCTTAAATGTTATTCATTTTATTTGGAATTTTTTTCTGGTATACCCATACCAAGGACATTCAGTCTTCTTCAGAAAAGTCCTTGAGGTGGTTAGAATGAAAGCAACATGCCAAAAATCAAATTTTGAACTTGGCACTTTAAAAAACTTCCATTGTAATTTAATAATTCCTGTTATTATACCAGTGCTGATTGCACAACAGATTTAGATCAGCAAGTCAACTAATCTGGTTAAGTCTTCTAACCCAGTGTTTCTCAATTTTAGCAACTTGGACTTCCCCAGTATGCTGGGAAAATTCTGGGAGTTGAAGTTCACACATCTTCAATTGCCGAGGTTGAGAAACATTGTTCTAACTGATGGTTCAGGCAACATTGCAATGTGACTCACTTTCTCCTGGAAGTGCTTGGTACCTTATGAACTCTTGCACCACAAAGTATTTTTACAAATACAATTGGTTCAAAATTGGCTCAGTGGACAGACGTAGGTATGGCTTCGGTGCTACAGCCAACCAGTGTTTGGAAACAAAAGGTTTTTTGCAGTGAAATCCAAGAGCTGGGCTTCATAGCTGCTCAGATTTGCTTCAAACCGTGAGATGGATGGCAAATAAATTTAATAATAATAAAAAAATAGCAGGCCATCTGGTTAGCTGCTGCAGGAAGACTGCATAGACTAACCACTAAGAATGGTACAATAAAGTAGCAACAATGGTGCATTGGAAGATCTGTAGGAAATATTTGTCTTCAAGCAAGAAGCGGTGGGACCATAAAAGATAGAAAGTAATAGACGATGAAGAAAGCTAAAGTGCTAGAATTCAAATAGAGAGGTACCTGCCACATAACAGCTCAGACTTAATTGTCGATAAGAAAAAAAATTGGATAGTGGACATGGCATATCTGGAGACAGCAAAATAGAAGAGAAAGAACTGGAGAAGATAACAAAATACAAACACCTGCAAACAGAAATAGAACGACTGTGGCAAAAGAAAGCAAAGGTAGTACCAATAATAATAGGTGCTTTGGGTGCAATCCCGAAACAACACTTGGAACACTTGGCAGTTGCCATCAGTCAATTGTAAAAGGCAATTTTACTTATTTCTGGTTATTTTTTAATGGCTTGATTAAAGAACATTAAGTTCATCATACTATGGAAAGCCATAACATGGGTTGATTTGGAGACGGGTTACATGTCTTGTGTGAATACCCTCTTTTTTCTCAATAGAATTGACTGGACAGAACTTGGAAAGTACCTCATTTTTGAATGGAATATAGCATTGTATCAAATGACGATAGTCTAAGACAGGGCTGTCAAACTCCCAGCTCGAGGGCCGGATGTATCACATGCTGGCCACGCCCACCCTCGGTTTAGTGAAGGGGGGGAAAGTCCCAATACGTCATGTGACACCACTGTGATGATGTGAGTTTGACACCTTTGGTGTCACATTCACCTAAACCTGGAACTGTCTAATATTAAGCTTCACTGCTGATTGAATTATGGTGTTTGCACCATATGCTAATCTCGCCATTGGCAATCGGGACCTGGGCTACAAAATAATTATATTTTTGAAGTCATTCATTGTCTTCTGCAACAAATCATTAAACCATCTTAGCCCGCCTTAAAGTATAATGCACCTAAAATAAACGGGCTCCAGTTATAAATGCTGATGCTACAATAAAAGTTACAGTTACATATTCCCTGATCTTTTTTCCAGATATTCAAAGCACCTCATGAAATAAAAAGACATACAGTATGTTAGTCACGGCAAGCTCTGCTCCTGAGTGCTTTCTTTGTTCTTCTGATTGTTATCCCACTTTTCCTCTCCTGCAATTTTATACACCCAACAATGACCTTGTGAGATTAGTTGGGCTAAAATGAGGGACTGGGGTCAGCTCCTTCAGTGAGCCTATTGGTTTGTACCGAGTCGATTCATATCCAAGTTGATGTCCATAGCATTTATTCTGGGCAGTCAGAAACACTGAATTATGG